TTCGACTTCCGCCACAGATATGTGTAACAACCGCTTTAAAGGGAGGACTTATTCACACAACATGCAACCATCCGCAGAAAATAATTTAGACTTGAACCAGAGCACGATTAATCTCCGATCCAGTACCCCCCAGAGGTATTGATTTGTTGTGCGAATTTGGCGGACTTTGCGACCCCGATCAAGCGTGCACCAGTCATAATTTTGTAACAGGAGGAGCCTTTAGCCAGCGGGAATCGAACTCACGACCACTTGAACATGGGCCCACCGCCCTACCAACCAGGCTATCCTGGCCATATGACTTAATTCATCTTTGACTTTAATTTAAATAATTATGATTTTTTTAAAATTTCTGTTCTTTCTTAATTGTTAAATAAATAAAAAAAACACTAAAATTTGACTAATAAAACTTTTTATTTACTACATTTTTATACAAGCATTTTAGAACACCATACATACATAGGATTATTGAAAATAGGAACATTAAAAGGAACAGAGTGCCTTTGAAAGGCATGATTATAATTTTTACAAGTTAAATGATATTTTAAAAAAATATTGAAAAGAAATTTTGTCATAGTAACAAAATGCATGCTGAGTATTTTGTTGCAATTATTTGAGTTAAATTTAGAAGTATTTTCCGAATTAATTTCAATTTTGTAGTTTTAAGATATATAACATTCCTTCTTGAAAAAACATTTTTAAGGACTGGAGGGGATTTCAAAAAATACAAAGTAAATAAAATACATACCTGCCAACTTGTACTGTCGTCAAAAAAGATTTTACGAAGTGGTAGTAAAACAACAATTAAGTTTGGAAGAATTTTCTAAAAACAACATCTATAAGCACAATTAGCCAACGAATAGATCTCATTTACATGCTGTTTTTTAAAATTATTGATTCATCATGGTAGTTTAAATTTTTTTTTGAAACTTTAAACTTTAAGATTTATTACGCCAAAGCGATCACTATGAAAATTATTTTTCAACGGCCGTACAAGTTGGCAGCTATGCACATTGATTATAAATTTTATAGCTTATTTTTTTCCGTATACAGTGGTCGTATACAGTGGTACAAATTTGCACTTATTTGCAGTAATTTCATTGAGAAACATTTCATTTGAGAAACATTCATTTGAGAAACAGTCATTCATCATCGAAATTTCTTTAGTTTCCAACATGAGTTANAATTTTATAGCTTATTTTTTTCCGTATACAGTGGTCGTATACAGTGGTACAAATTTGCACTTATTTGCAGTAATTTGATCTAAGAGAAACAGTCATTCATCATCGAAATTTCTTTAGTTTCCAACATGAGTTATTGATTCATTTTTGACTATTAATTAAAAAATTTTTTTACAAACTACTTTTTTAGGATTTTATATTTTACTACAAATATATTATTCCGATAATCTAAAAATTTTTTTAGTAACTATTAGACTGTATTTTATAATTAAAAATATCAAAATATATTTTCGTTTGTAATTAGAGCGACCAGAAAAAATATGTAAAAGGGACACCAGTGTCCCATCTGCGCCAAAATTTTAACCCTTTGCATGGCCATGGGAATTATATTTCCCACCAACTTTATTAAGTTTTGAATGTTGACAGCAAGCCTTTTTTCGACCTTTGATTTGTACAGATATCTGTTGATTACTTCAGAACTTACAAAAGAAATATTAATGAAGGACTTTGTATATATATATATATATATGGATAACAGTAAAGGCTAGTGTTGGGTCAAGAAGAGACACATGCATAGGAAATTATTTTCCCTTTTTCTTTATGCATTCGTTCATTTAATCATTTCTCATCGAATTAATTTAGAGTTAGAAACGTAGAATTTAAAAATTCGGTTATTTAAAAGCACAGAAGTTCAAGTGTATGGTAAATTCTTTGCAGTAATCACAACGAAATACGTCGTAAAAAACAAAATAATTTCAGGTAATAAATTAAATTTTCTTTTTTAATAAATCAATCTCAATTCTAAAAAGTATTTAAACATAAAATTGCAGGAAAAAAATGGCTCGATGAAGTGCCAAATGGCAAATTTGGAACTTTGAACCATTTACAATAAATATTACAAAATATTAGTTATATAGTTTTTTCTCCTTACGCATTAATGGTTATAATAATGTTTTATTATAATTATTAACAGGGATGTTAACTTTAAGAACTGGTAGCGAATAAAAAATTAAACTTGTAAAATAAAAGCTACTTCCACGAGCTTTTAAAAAGTCTTCACACTAGATAACTGAAACAAAGTTGTATTCTATATCAGACTTTGAAATTTTGATACGTAATGGTGAAAAAAATAACTGAAAATAATTTATTTAGTTAAAAATTACTTAACTTTACCATTGGAAAATAAATTTTTACCACTAGAAAATAAATTCATTACCACTAGAAAATAAATTTTTATAAAGAGGATGCCTTTTGTATAATGCCATACCTGCCAACTCTTCCGGATTTTCCGGAAGATTTTATTTTTATATTTAAAGTGGTAGCAAATATATACTATTTTTTTCTTTTATAAACTTAATTTTTAAATGATTTTGATCACCACTATTCTTACAAAAATTAAGCACATATATTAATATGCGTTACTCTCATGGTTGTAAACTTAAGGTTTCTCAAATACAGCGTGATTGTTTGCTAAAAATTGAAGTTTTAATTCCATTTTAATACCACTGGGAAAATGATAATGGAAAGGATTAAAAGTTGGCAGGTATGTAATGCCCTTTTGTATTAACCCTTTGCACTCGAAGTCCTTTCAACTGTTAAAAAAATAGACGCAACCACTAACATTTTAAAAGAATTTTTGCAATGTTACCTTATAAAATCCGAGGATCACTGAATGAAGTGGTAACTGAACATTAAGATGAAAAAAATTTCACAATTGAAAAAAAATTCACAATTAGAGTAGTGGGTAATTTAATCCCATGGGGACGGGTGATTCAGAAAAGCATTCGTACAAAATCAGAATTAAGTTGTAATTAAATAAAAAACGGTAACTTAAATGTAGTCGTTGCTAATTTGACAGATTTACTTTGCTTTTACTTTAATTATTGTTTGTTTAATCTTATATATAATCAATGTTAATTCAAAGTATAACTAAATAGTTTTATTTTGAACAAAGTAATGGTGAATTAAATAAATCAAACAATTATAACTCCGCCCACAAATAAACTGCTAAAGAAATACTTTGATTACCAGTTTTATCTTTTTACCCTGATTGATACGGTTTTATGCTGACACGTATTTGTGACAGTCGGCGCGAAAAGGTTAAAGGTGACAGTGGTGACTGACAGTCACCTCTCGAGTGGAAAGGGTTAAATGTGTATATGTATACTGAAGAAAGGATATAAAAATAAACTGCTTTGAAAAGTTAGTAGCTATACTGAAGACATAAAATACAGGGTGTCCCAGAACACTCTTTAACCCCTTGGGGACGGGTGATTCAGAAAAGCATTCGTGCAAAATCAGAATCAAGTTGTAATTAAATAAAAAACGGTAACTTAAATGTAGTCGTTGCTAATTTGACAGATTTACTTTGCTTTTATTTTAATTATTGTTAGTTTAATCATATATATAATCAATGTTAATTCAAGGTATAACTAAATAGTTTTATTTTGAACAAAGTAATGGTGAATTAAATAAATCAAACAATTATAACTCCGCCCACAAATAAACTGCTAAAGAAATACTTTGATTACCAGTATTATCTTTTTACCCTGATTGATACAGTTTTATGGTGTCACGTATTTGTGACAGTCGGCGCGAGAGGGTTAAGGAGAGATAGGGGACATCACAATGATTCAAATTTGTATAGCAATTCATGGTCAAAAACATCTTTTTCCGCCGTTAAGTAATGTTGGTTTGGGCGTGGTACATCGATTCCCTGGCCACCACGCTCTCCTGATTTAAGCACATGGATTTCTTTCTTTGGAGTGCACTGAAAAGTGTTGTGTGCGAAACCCTCGTGGATTTTGAAATGGATCTAGTAGCAAGAATCATCTGTGCTGCTGCGAATATCCATCAAAATCCAGATGTATTTGAGTAAGTCTGCCAATCTATGGTCCGACGTTGTAACGCATGCACTACTAAAATTGGTGGAAACTTTGAATATAGTTTGTGACATTTTCACATATCTGCCACAGCATATGTAATATCTGTGATCAATAAATATTGCAGACAATCTCAGTCTTGTGACGCTTGGTTTTTTGTACCCCCCATGACATTTCCGACCATGGGGGTCGTTATGCATCTCTGAATTCTTGTGAAGTTCCCTACCCTCCCTTAAAGTTTGTCCCAATAATCCACCCCCTATAATTAAACTTATAAACTTCTTTTTAAAAATTAATCCAAAGACGTTAGATTTAATGTAAGCAACCGTCTAAAAAATGAAATATTAATATTTTGCTTCCCCCCCCCGATAAATTGTAAAAAAAATCCTTATATTTTAAACAAATATTTCTCTTTTTAATACATAATTTTATTCTTGTCAATTTTTATTATTTTCGAGCCATGATTTTGTTATCCGAAGTGAAGTGATAAAGTAAAAAGTGGTAGTGACGATTGTAATCAAAAGTTTTTTTTTATCAATTTTGCCAGAGCGTAACACGTTCACGCCGGGCTGACCCATCGGTGGGTCACGCTAGATTGTCTCATTTTGGCAGCGCACCGGAGTTAAAACTGGTAACAATAAATTTCATTTTTTAGTATTTTTTCGGGTCCATAAAATGGTAAAAATCCATAACTACCAACTGTTTTTAACGGATGCAATTTTTATATTGAATTGCTTTTTCGCAGCAATAAATTTCCTTACAGTGAATTGTTATTGTTGAGAATAGATTAACTCCTCCCGAATATTATCTAATATTGGAATAGTTATTCTACTAGTACTTTCTCTTTTCCCGTACCAGTATTTTCACTTTTCCCGGCATGAACGTGTTAAACAAAACTTCGCATAAAAATATCATACATTTATAAATATGTTTAATTTATTTTTACGTAGTATATTGTTGGTCAAAACGATAGGGAAAAAACAACTTGAAAATCTAAGAATTAAAATGAAATTAAAAAAAAATTCCTTCAGTTTAAATATGAAAATAAAATTTTACGTAAAATACGTCGTACTACTTACGGCAATGGCTTACAGTTAAAGTACCTCTCAATTAAAATTGGGTCCTTTTACACATGCTTCGAAATAATTAATCAGCATTGTCCTGAGAATTCAGAAACTACAGAGGTTAAAAAAGACGTTGTTCTTAAATTTCTTTCATGTCGTTTGCTCTTTGAGAGATGATAAAGTAAAATCATGAGTTAAAAGTTTTTAGGAATCTTGAATTCTGGAAAAGTAAGGAACCTTGAGCATAGAGCCATAGGAACTTTTGTTTCTTTCCTTTAAAAGAAATTGTTCTCTTCAAAATGTCTCTTTCAAATTGGCTAATTCATTTGCAGTTCGAGTTTCGTTTAATGAGGGAATCGAGTTCTTTTTTGGCCTGCCTTTTGGTTTTGTCGGTGGAACAGTACATCCCCCTTGCATTACCTGTAATAAGTTCAAAAAATTATGAAAGTATGAACATCAAACCAATTTTGAACATATTTTTGAAGTGTTTTATAATGTTGAAAAATTGTTCATATTCTGCAATATTGATATATTGAACATATTAAAATTGAAACTAACTTACAAAAAGTATCACACAGTAAATTATCAATATTATTGAAGTATTGAACATATCGAAATTCAAACTAACTTCAAAAAAAGTATCAAACAGTAAGGTAAATAATATTGAAGCATTGAACATATTTAAATTTAAACTAACTTCCGAAAAGTATAAAGCTTTAATGTATCAATAATATTGAAGTATTGAACATATCAAATTTAAACTAACTTCTGAAAAGTATCAAACAGTAAGACATATAATATTGAAACATTATTAAAATTGAAAATAACTTTCGAAAAGCATCAAACAGTAAGGTATCAATAATATTGAAGTATTGAACATATCGAAATTTAAACTTACTTCTGAAAAGTATCAAACAGTAAGGTATATAATATTGAAACATTGAACATATTAAAATTGGAACTAACTTTCGAAAAGTATCAAACAGTATAAGGTATCAATAAAATTGAAGTATTGTACATATCGAAATTCAAATTAACTTCTAAAAAGTATCAAACAATAAGGTAAATAATATTGAAGCATTGAACATATTTAAATTTAAACTAACTTCCGAAAAGTATAAAGCTTTAATGTATCAATAATATTGAAGTATTGAACATATCAAATTTAAACTAATTACTAAAAAGAATCAAACAGTAAGGCATATAATATTGAACCATTATTTAAATTGAAACTAACTTTCGAAAAGCATCAAACAGTAAGGTATCAATAATATTGAAGTATTGAACATATCGAAATTTAAACCAACTTCTGAAAAGTATCAATAATGTTAAAACATTGAACATATTGAAATTTAAGCTAACTTCCGAAAAGTATCAAACAGTAAGGTGTCAATAACATTGAAGTATTAAACATATCGAAATTTAAACTTACTTCTGAAAGGTATCAATAATATTAAAACGTTGAACATATTAAAATTTAAACTAATTTCCATAAAGTATCAATTTGTAAGGTATCGATAATATTAAAGCTTTCATTAATGTATCTTATTTGGTATTGTATCACTTATTTTGAAACATTGACAACTAACTTCAATTTTAACAACTTCAATTAACTTTAGTACGATATCAAATTTTGTCTTACACTATTCAAAATACATCAAGACTTGTGCGAAATTCTGGTTCATAGTCACGAAAATTTTCTTTGACGAAATTTGTTTCGTTTTTTACTCTTCACAGCTTCTCTGTGATTATACCGAGTTTTCTCGGTTTCTTATTTTCGCGAGGAAACTCTCTCTCTTAGCAGATATTGTACTTACAATTAGTTTTATCTCATTTTTACAGAGCGAAAGAAAATATCTCTCAATTATCTCTAATAAAATATCCCTAATTGCCTATTTACGAAATTTTTGTTTAAGAGCCTGTTGATAGCTTAAAAAGTTAAAGATTCAACATAATGTTTTAAGAAAAATTTCAGCTTTTAATCAATTACATAGAGGACAATTTTTTTTTCTTCTATTTTCTGTTTGTTTCTATTTATATTTGAACTGATCAGTGATATTTCTTGGCGTCACTGATTTCTAATTTGTAACCGTCTATCCCTACAAGATACAGTAATCATGAAATTTAAAACTCAACTCATGTCAAGGATTTTTTTTAAGAATTAACTCGAGTGAGTACTAAGTGCCCGCACTCCTCTGCTACGTGGGGAGTGGTAGGAAGAAGTTGATAAACTATTCAGTCTATGATGTAATGCATTGAGTTCAGATGTTTTTTTTTTGGTTTTAATTCCTAATTTCAAAGGACAAGGCATGTAATTCGAGTATAAATATTTTTGTATTGAGGTTATTATTGAGGCCTCAATATTATATAGTTTACAAGTTAAAGGTGTATCATTTGCTATTTTAATTATGTCTAGAGTTCAAGAATTTAAAAGGTGAATTTCTAGATAACGAATATTCCATATAACGAACTTTTTATCGGTATTTAGCTACTTCGTTAAATGGAGGTCCAATTGCAGTTACGCAATTCTAGTGGTTTGTAACATTTGTTGAATTAGTCCTGAATCAGACTGAATACAATGCGCTGAAAAGCGTTTAGCTTAATCAAAATAAATCTAATCTATTGTCCACCTAGTATAAGTACTCTATGGATGGAGGGAAAAAAATGGTGGTTCATATTTCGTTATACAAAGTGTACACTTCTTCCTATTATCTGCCATTTACTTTTCTATAACTATCATTATAAATATTTCACGGTACCAAAATATATCTTGGTTTCTGAGGCCGCTTACAACCCTTTTCCCATCCTTCTTGAATTTTTAACTTTAAGGTTATACTTTATGGTAATTGGAGTGTAAGGACAATTAAATATTTTGTTTTCTAGATAAAGATGCGTAGATACAAAAAAAAAAAAGCAACTATTGGCCTTTTTCCATTTCCTACTATTAGTTCACACCAGAGTTGGCCGTTGATTACAGTAATCGATTACAACTGTGATTGATTACAGATAATTACAGCTATGTAATTAATTACTTGTAATCACGATTACAAGTAATCAAAATTTTTGATTACATCAGAGTAGAGCGAAAATGTAATCGATTACATTTTTTCAATTACAGTAATCAATTACTTGTAATCATGATTACATAGTCGATTACAGTAATAAATTACATGTAATCGTGATTACAACTATCAAAAAATTTTGATTACAGCTGTAATTATGATTACAATTTTGATTACAGTAATCAAATTGATTACTGTAATCGACTATGTAATCATGATTACAGTTGTAATCAAACTTTGTGATCATGATTACAAGTAATTGATTACTGTAATTAATATTGTAATCACGATTACAACTGTAATCAAAAATTTTGAAAATTGTAATCATGATTACAAGTAATTGATTACTGTAATCAAAAGATGTAATCGATTACATTTTTGGCAAACTCTGGTTCACACTCTCCCTATATCTTGTTCAAATTTTCAATCGTTAATAAAATACTTTTTATTCATTCACCCATCAAGTTCCCACTTGATGGGTAATACAGCTTTTTCAAATATTAATTCATTCATTAAATAGGGGTGAGCGAAAAACGAAATCAAATTTTCTGATGGGTTAAGCGTTAGTCACTGTTTTAAATTTTACTATAACTGATTCAATTTTTCACATATTTTAAAAATAACATCAGTGATATTTCTAACTTATAGCTAGCTCTATTTGAACAAAAAAATAGTTTATTGCGCACATTTAAATATTTAATTATTTTATATTCGCTGTGTGTCAGATAAATTCAATAACATTACGTGGTGGCGAGTGTGGTCCAAGTCACCAAAGTTTATACTTTTGCAGTTATCTAAAACCACGCGCCTTTTTTTTTCCAATTCCTATTATTGATTCTCATTCTCCCTATATTTATATATCTTGTTCAATATTTCAATCTTTAATGAAATACTTTTTATTCATCCACTCATGTTCAAATACATTTTTTTAAACTTGTAGTGGATGACACTTGATGTTAATACAGTATTTTCAAATAATAATTCATTAATTAAATTTATTTAATTAATTAATTTTAATTAATAAGTTTTAATTAATTAGTTTTAATTAATTAATTTTAATTATTTTAATTATTAATTTTATATGAGAGAAAATTTTTTAATTATTTAATAAAAGTAACTAAAATAAAATGTTTTTTTGTTGACCTAAGTTGGAATTGATTTAAAAAATTTATTTTTAGATTAATTGTTTTTGTTATCATAACAGCATATTCAAGTATTAAAATTGATGTTATATTAGGAGAGACAAATATCAATTTCTTCTTCAAAATGAATCCTAATAATGAAACATTTATGCTGTTCCTTTTTTAAATCAACGGTGTCCCTTTTATACATATATATATTTTCTGACGCGCTAATAATAAGTAAAAATAGACTTTGATCTATTTCAGTTATAAAAAGCATTCTAAGTTACAAAAAAATCTGCTAGGTTATTGGAATTTTATTTCTACTAAATTATGAAACCCAAAATGAGTAGTTGAAATTTTTCTTTTCATTCATATTCAAAAATTTATTTTGTTAATTTAAATTATTTCGATGATGAATAACTGTTTCTCTAAGATCTAAATTGCTTCAAATTAGTGCAAATTTGAAAAAAAAATTATTTATTGGTAGGTTTTTACCTTTAACGCCAAAAATTAAGACGCCGATTTTAGTACTGCATTTTATAACTATAAATTGTTAAAATGCTTAATATGATATTTTTCTCTTATTTCGACCTAAATTAATACAAAATAATTCAAAAAGTATGAAAAATATATTTAATAAAAATTCTGCGTTAAAGATTTAAAAGGACGCTGGGCAGAAATGGGTTAAATTAACATAATCTTTAATTGTTAATTCGTTACCTCTTAATATGTGTGGCGGTAGGACTTCTGGGCTAGCATTTATGGTTTAATTTAAAGGGAATAAGTTAATCAATTAAGGCCTTAATATTGAATTTAGAGCAGTCGCTATTTTTTCATTTTTGCCTAAATTAGCACAACATAATGAAAAGAGTACGAAAAATGTATTTAATAAAAATTCTGTGTTAAAGGGTTTAAAGGACGCTAGGCAGAAATGGGTTAAATTAACATAATCTTTAGTTGTCAAATCGTTACCTCTTAATATATATTATGTGGTGCTAGGACTTCCGGGTTAGAATTTATGGATTAATTTAAGGGGAATAAGATCTCTATTTAATTAGGGCTTTAATATAGCATTTAGAATTGACGATTTGTTCATTACTGTAGCACCAGAGCGATGTTAAATTTTTTTTAACAGAATTATTTAAATGAACTCAATATGTAAACAGTTCAAACACGTGAATCAAAAGACCTGAAAATTACAGTGAAATTTGCGTGTTGTAATTGTCGTTTCACTAGTAATTAAAAAAATCTTCAAAAAAAAAGTTTTTTTTCAATTAAAAAATTTTTGCAGTTGAGCCTAAAATTTATAATCTTTACTATTCAAACGAAACCGAAAAATTTATATACTCACTTGTTTTTTCCACTTCATTCTTCTGTTCTGATACCACGTCTTCACTTGTAACTGCGTCAGCCCTAACGCCCTGGCCAATTCAGCCCTATCAGGTGTGGACAAATACTTCTGACAATCAAATCGCCTCTCCAACCCCATCAGTTGCAGCTCTGTAAACACAGTTCGATTTCTCCTCACTTTCCTGGGTGGATGACCCCCTTTAGATCCGTCTTTTGGACATCCAGATTCCAGTCTCACATCGGTAGCCCCACACGACGACCAAGAGACGGCGGTTGCCGCGCCCCCAGCTGTCGGGACAAGCCCCACACAGACACCAGCGGCAGCAGCAGCGGCGGCTGCCGCAGCTGCTACGGAAGCTGATACGGCGGACGCTGCATTTCCTCCAGGAACAGGAGCAGTCATCAACTCAGGAAAACCTGTAAAACAACAATACCTGTATTAAATTTTTACTGTAGTGGTTTTCGTTATCTGTTATCGACTCAAATTATCAAACAATTTATCAAGCGCACCATTTTAAAAATTTTTTAAAATAAATAAGGAGGTAACATCTCCTGATCGCTTCGCTCACCACTCTCGTAACTGTTTCGCATTCGACATGATTTTTTTTATTACTAAGTTCATATTTTCCATAGAAACAAAGATAATTGATGATTTTGTTAACAAAATATACAATAATTGTAGCTTTATTTTAAAAATATTATGTTAATATATTAATCATAAATAAAATCAGCGATTAATAAATTGCGATTAACGATTATTAACGATTTTTTATTAAGTCCATATTTTACGCAAAAATAAAGATAATTGATGATTTAGTTATCAAAATATATAATAATTGAAATTTTATATAAAACATAATGTTAATATATTAATCATAAATAAAATGAGGGATTCATGAATTGCGAATAACGATTAATGAATTGTGATTAACGACTAATGAAGGATTATTATCGATTAATGAACATTGAAGGATGAATTGAAGAATTTAAAAAAGAATCATGTGTATTATTAACCCTTTGAGGCGGAAATTTTGCTAAACGTAATTTTTTAGAAACTTTTTTTCATTATTTTGTATTAATTTAAGTAAAAATAAGTTTAAAATATTGTATTTAGCATTTTGATAATTTATAGTTATGGAATACAGCAGAAAACGCCGGTGTCTTTTTCTTAGTTAAAGGTTAAATCTTCCAAACATGGTTCACTTCCAAACAATTTCAAATTTGCACTTATTTGCAGTTATTTAAATCGAAGAGAAGCAGTTAAATATTAAAATTTCTTTATTTCACAGAATCAATTATTGATAAATTTTTGAATATGAATGCTTTTAAAAAAAAATTCAAACTATTTTTTTAGGATTTTATAGTTTACTACATATATTATTCCGATCATTATAATAAAATTTTTAATAACTAGTAGACTGTATTTTATAATTAAAGAGTGAAAAAATTTGTTTTTGCTTGTAGTTGGAGTGCCTGACGAAATATATATAAAAGGGACACCGGTGTTCTATCTGTGTCAAACGGTTTACTTACAGAATACAGTTAATTAAGAGAAAATGGATAAAAAATAATTTTACTCTCTAACAAGTCTTATAACAGTTCAAACAGGGAGCATTTTTTTTTATCTCTCTTGTCTGAAGAATAGGAAACATTTAAATAATAATAATAAAAATCTGACAAAATATTCACTAAAGAAGCGCTTAAAATCCCAATAATTTTAAAATAAATTGCAATTTCAAAAAAAAGAAAGAAAAAAGAAGAATTGTATCAAGTTAATAAATAAAAATGACTTTTCCAAGATGTTACATATCAACTTCGTGGTTGGATTTCAACCAACATCAGGTCAGTACTTTCTACTACAAGTTTAGCAGTTACAATAATTCAATTATTCTAATTATTGGATGTTAATTTTATTTTTACTTTAATTCGGATGTAATTATCAATTTAATTGTTAATATTAATTCCGATGTTAACTAATTATCGGATGACAATTTTATGATTCCATTGTTTTTTGTTGTTGTTTTTTGTTGTTCCTCATACTGCATTCAATCTTAATTTCAAGCTTTTAAATTTAATAGTTTTTTTCTCATAGTAAAACAAAATTTAAAGTTAAGAAAAATTTCAAAACCTGTGATAAAAAGGCACTTAAAACTGAAAAAACTTTCGGACAAAATAGAATTTTTAAAAAAACATCTAGTTCTGGTGTCAAATTTCAACTCTGTTGTTGTATTTGCGGTCTGTAGAGTGACCGCATGGTATTTTTTACTATAAGTTTAACTGTTCGAAATAATTATCTCATGTTAATTTTTTTTATTTTATCGTATTCCTTGTCCATTCTTATACTCGCCATCGTCATTTTAAGCTCTTAAATCTGATAGTTTTCGCGTTTTCAAGTTTTTAAGTTTTTAAGTCTGATACTGTTTGTGTGGTTAAGTTTCTAAGTCTGATAGTTCTTGTGACAGTAAAACAAAGTGTAACGTAAAGTTAAACTTCCAAAACAGCAACTGAATGTATTTCAAAAAATATATTCTTAGCTAAAAATATGTTTGAAATAGTTACTGTATTTTAAAAGTCAGCAATACACTAGGAACTCAATACAATAATCCGACTGCTCGAAAGGGAAATATTACTTTATGCGAGAAAATACAATAACTTTATCCAAAAAAAAATGTATTTGTAATCAAATAATAAACAAGGGAATCGTCAGAAAATACATTGATCCCAAATTAAATTAAATTTAGAAACAAATATGCAATTTTCAAATCTATAGTTACATTTCTGCAATCTGTAGAGCAACCCTCGTAGTAATTTTTACTACAAATTAAATTGTTAATGATTCTCTAATTAGTTATCTAATGTTAGTTTCATTTTGTAGAACTTTCTGTACATTTTTTTTACTCACCTCGTAATTTTAAGCTTTTAAATCGATTAATTTAAAATCGAATCGATTAAATCGATTAATTTAAAATCATTCGAATCGATTAATCGAAAATTGTTTGTAACCTCTATACTAGTTTTAGAGCAGCAAAACAAAATGTAAGATTAAGGGAAGCATCCAAATCAGCGGCGGTGCTTACGTTTTTTAAATATAAAGTGAAAGATTAAAATAAAACAAGTAATATATATATATAAAAAATTGAAGTCAATTCCTACTTTGGTCAATTATTTTTTTAAAATTTTATTTATAATAGTTACAATTTTTCTCCCATATAAAACTAAATTTAATTAATTAAATTTAATGAATGAATTAATATTTGAAAAAACTGTATTAACATCAACAGTCATAGACTAAAAGTTTAAAAAAAATGTATCTGAACATGAATAAAAAGTATTCCCTACCTTCCCTTAAAGTTTGTCCCAATAATCCACTAAACTTATAAACTTCATTTTAAAAATTAATCCAAAGACATTAGATTTAATATAAGCAACCGTCTAAAATATGAAATATTAATATTTTGTTTTTTCCCCCCGATAAATTGTAAAAAAAAACTTATATTTTAAACAAATATTTCTCTTTTTAATACGTAATTTTATTCTTGTCAATTTTTATTATTTTCGAGCCAAGATCTTGTTATCCGAAGTGAAGTGATAAAGTAAAAAGTGGTAGTGACGATTGTAATCAAAAGTTTTTTTTTATCAATTTTGCCAGAGCTTAAACAAAACTTCGCATAAAAGTATCATACATTTATAAATATGTTTAATTTATTTTTATGTAATATATTGTTGGTTAAAACGATAGGGAAAAAACAACTTAAAAATCTAAGAATTAAAATGAAATTTAAAAAAAATTTCTTCAGTTTAAATATGAAAATAAAATTTTATGTAAAATACGTCGTACTACTTACGGCAATGGTTTACAGTTAAAGTACCTCTCAATTAAAATTGGGTCCTTTTACACATGCTTCGAAATAATTAATCAGCATTGTCCTGAGAATTCAGAAACTACAGAGGTTAAAAAAGACGTTGTTCTTAAATTTCTTTCATGTCGTTTGCTCTTTGAGAGATGATAAAGTAAAATCATGAGTTAAAAGTTTTTAGGAATCTTGAATTCTGGAAAAGTAAGGAACCTTGAGCATAGAGCCATAGGAACTTTTGTTTCTTTCCTTTTAAAAGAAATTGTTCTCTTCAAAATGTCTCTTTCAAATTGACTAATTCATTTGCAGTTCGAGTTTCGTTTAATGAGGGAATCGAGTTCGTTTTTGGCCTGCCTTTTGGTTTTTCGTCAGAAAATACATTGAAACCAAATTAAATTAAATTTAGAAACAAATATGGAATTTTCAAATCTGTAGTTACATTTCTGCATACCGTAAAGAAACCCTCGTAGTAATTTTTACTTCAAATTAAATTGTTAGTGATTCTCTAATTAGTTATGTAATGTTAGTTTTATTTTGTAGAACTCTCTGTACAATTTTGTTTACTCACCTCGTAATTTCAAGATTTTAAATCGATTAATTTAAAATCGAATCGATTAAATCGGTTAATTTAAAATCAATCGAATCGATTAATCGAAAATTGTTTGTAACCTCTATACTAGTTTTAGAGCAGCAAAACAAAATGTAAGATTAAACGTTATTTTATTAACGATTGAAAATTTGAACAAGAGTGGAAACTAATAGTAGGAATTGAAAAAGAAGAAAAATGTTTTATATTTTAGGCTATTGTAATTAAACACAAACCTGAATGCCAGCTCTGAGGTGGACAATTGAGACAACAAAGAGAAAGACTGCCCGAGCAAACATTTGTTCTTTGATGATGGGAACGACCTGTTAATAGATCTTCGTGTCCGAGACTCGAACCCAGGCTCTGCGAGTAAGGCACGACTTGTGTATCCCATAATGTGCCTGATGGTAGATGTGCTATTAGAGATGGAGGATGTGTTTGGACGCTGAATTCGTCTTCCTCTGCGACAACTATTTCTTCATCTTCATCACCTGAAGCGGAAAAAAATAATGTATAAGAATTCTGACTTGAAAAATCAACTTCTGAAAAAACAACGGAAAGAGATGGAAATGTTATTGTTTTTTTTGCATAAACAAATATCACTCTTAATTAAATAATCCTAAGAAACTGAACCGGTAAGATATTACATGATTGAAAGCTTAGTTATTTCAAAAATATACAAAATGGAATTAACGATCAACATGTTTTGAGCGCTCAAAAATAGGTGTCCCTTTTCACGGCTTCACCGAAGTCTGTCTGTGTACAAAATGGTGAAAGGTGCATGCTAAATCTGTCGGGGTCACAAAGTCCTCCAAGCTCTCATAACAAATCAATATCTCGGGGGGTACTGGATCAGAGATTGAATGTGCTCTGTTTCAGATCAAAATCACGGTCTGTGGATGGATCATGCATGAATGTGTCCTCCCTGTAAAACGGGATGTGACGCAAGTATGCTGTCTCCGGATCATTCTCAGGGATGTTTCCCAGACCGTCACTGATAGCCCATTGTGCTGATCTAGTCCGACGTAAATGAAAGTATCATCTTTTTTCTCTCTCGGATACTATGAATTTTCTAGCTTTTTTCTCACCTTTATTTCTCTATTTTTCGTCGACAACTTTACGTTTTCAATTTCAAATTACTGTTATATCTTCTCATCCACGTCTGTCAAGTCTTGAAAATGAGCACCTATTTTGAGCGCTTAAAATGCGTCGACTTTTATTTCCCTTTTGTTTATTTTTGATGGCAATGAAGTTTTTAATCAAGGAATATTGCACTTGCATATTATTCTCACGGTATTTTGCTTCTGTGATGCATAGCCCCAAAAAACTGTACGAAAAAAGAAAAAAACTGTAGTGTGACAAGAAATCTCTACGAAACTGGGATTCCATACACTTTTTTAGTAATGTTACAGCATTAAATTCAGTAAACGTAGTATGTTTACTAAGTTTAACCCTTTAACGCAGAATTTTTATTTAACATATTTTTCACGCTTTTTTTTCATTATTGCGTATTTATTTATGTTAAAATAAGTAAAAAATATAATTCTCAATATATCAAACTTCCATATCTTGAAAACCTTGCTATGGCGAATAAATGTTTTTCACCTTGGTATTATATATCACCCTAATGTTAATTTGAATTCCATTGCAAACGATAATTAGTGCAAACGATATTTTCAGTAACGAAACAAGCATTAAAAAGTACTTTTTCTGAATAAATATAAATTTTTTTTCGTTGAATTTTGATTCTTTAACCCTCAATAATTAAGGGATAGTAGCAATTTGGAAAATAAGGTCCCAGGTGAAGTAGATGACTCATCGAATGTTTCGGCCACTTAATATTACTACTAAAGATAATGTACCACGTCATGTTACCATATTTATACAACATTACCATATTTATACAACATTACCACATTGTACAGCATTACCACATGTTACTACATTACACATTATTCAAGAAGCATTAGCGGCCATTTGAGTATTTCCCCATATCTTCGAAACTAATGAAACAAATCAGAAAAATTTCGCACACATTTATAAAACTTGCTTATTCATAAATACTTTCGGGTAAAAGACTATTTCTTAATAATTAATGTTTAATAGTCTGAAATAATGAATTGTTACGGAAACAAATTTTTACACCGAATCAATCAGGGTAATTTTATAGGACAAAATCTTTAATATTTGAAGGAAATCGGTCGAACAGTTTTTGGGAAATAAGAATTAAAGAAGTTGTATTTCTTAGAGAGGGAAAAAAACTCAAAAAGTGAAATTAAAATTTTTAAATAAATGTTAATTTCACTTCTGTCATTTCACAAAAATTTTATTTTTTCGTAATTAATAATCAGGAGCTCCAGATTGTGATTAGCACCCCCCCCACACACACACACGCATATTTATGGAATCAAAAATCCTAGTACGAAAAAAGTCCTTCATTATATTTTTATTTATTTATTTTATAACCGGTGTAGGACAGCTGACCCAATTCTGAGTTTACAACTATTAATGTTCCAAAGCACAAACCCAACCTAGAAGACAAGGAAACTCCTGGATCAAGCACTGGTACAAACCGACTTTCATGGAGCACTTTTTGATGGAACTAAACCGCATTTAAGTAACATGGATATGGAAAGCCTCGAAAACCTCTCACGGTTAACCCGACGGCAAGGGAATTGTAACCTATGATCCATCTTCTACATTCTGTTTTACTTCAGCACTATAGCTGGAATGAGCAGGGAGCAGAATACGTATACCAACTTACGTTGAGGTTCGAACCAGGGTAGGTGGACGTTTTATCCCCTGAGCCACTGTGACTATTTATGTTCGGATCATTTTAAACTCGCATAACTTTAAGTTGTGTCCCTTTTATGTTTTATTTCTGTTTACTGTACATCTTTCAGTTCACCTTAAATCTGCAAGCTAATCACAACCTTGAAGTAAAAATATGTCTGAAAGAGATTTACTTTATTTCTTTTAAAAAAAGACTTCCTGTTTCCCTGAGTTGGTTTTAGAATATTAATCCCCTAAATTATACAACATATAGACAAATTTTTCGGTGAAAATACTAAAATGGGCATCACGGGGTTGAGGTGTTGCACTTACCTATCCAAGGGGGGAAATTGACGTCATAAAGTAAGACGATTTCTTTGAAATAAACATGATATTTGCAGTATTTAAAAAAAATTATTTTAATTTTCTCCTCCAATTTTTCATTAAAATTGCCTAATTGGTAGATTTTTTACTATAAATATGTCTTTTAAATTTTTATTAATTGCGGCAATCGCAGGTTTATGAATTTTCTTCCCAGAGGATGCATCATAAAGCAACTTTGCACTTTTAATTTTTAAAAAAAAAGCTTTATCCTAAACTTTTTGGGCAACTTGCGAGTAAAAAATTTAATGTTATTTCGTACTTTTTTACTTATCAAGAATAAACGTTCTGACTCCAATTTCCTTAAAAAGCAATATTTTTATACACTTATTACACATTATTACATATTTCAACATATTATACACCTATTTAAGTTGTCCCATCACATAGTCAGGGAACTTTTCTGTCGTCATAGCAATAATAACTTAACATCTTTAATAAAAACAGGTAATAAATAAAAACAGAAAAATTCTATATCATAGCTTGCATACAATTAAATAATAAATGATTTGTAAGTAACTTTTTTTAACAACTCCGATTACCGCGTGCTTTTAATAATGTAATAAAATATTGGATTTAAAGAAGAAGAAAAAACGCAATTTAATCGGTTAATTGTAATAAATAATTTACGTAAAGATTTCATGAATTATTAGTATAAACAATTAATAATAATAAGAATTTATGTTAGGTTTGGTGTTTTTTTTTTGTCGTGTGCCTGATTAGGCAGTGGGGTTGCGATTGTTCCTGTTTTTCAGTGGCGCCATCTAGGACCAGGAATTCGACTTCTTTCACGCCATTCACACAACCACAACCCGTTTATAGGGCGGGTCACATTCACACACAAAGGTGAAAGGACATAGAACACAGAGAGAGAGAAAGAAACATCCATGGATTCAAACCCAGGACCTTTCTGATGCAGGGACAGTTCCCTGTCCCCTACACAGGCCGGTCGGGTTTGGTGTTTTTTATCTTCCTAATTAAGATTCCTTCGTAGTAATAACAGAATAGCAATGGGATACCAGCAATTGACGTTGTATGGGTATCTCGATCCCGATTGGTTGTTAAAACGTAATATTTGTTTACGTTAGTAACTATTCTTTCCATTCTATTTCGAGTCCGTCAAGTATCAATTCTCTTAAGTGACGCATTTTATATTCCTTCATTATATATTTCTTACTTAGCACAAAGACTGGCACGAAGCCATGTGGAACATAAGCAAACTAATTATGCATCGAAGTTGCCAGAAGCACGAAACAAAAATATATCGCGGTTACAATAAAATACATAAACAAATAACAAATTTAAGTTAAATAAAAAGCGCAGACGAGAAAGAATTATTGTTCAACGAATTCGATGCGCGATACTGCGTTTTATTTAATTCACTTCACTTTAATAAACATTCTAGCTTACGTGGAGAAATTTAGCTCAATTTTAATACGCCATTTTGCTTATAAACGATCAGCTGGAGCTGACGTCATAGGTGTCACGTGTGGGTACCCGTGATCTTCTTCTTGAAGTGCAAGTACTTGATTTATGTTGTTTGTTTTAATTGTGCAATAAAATGTTGAATGTTGTTTTTAACTGTGCAGTACTTTTTAAAGGGCATGGTTAAGAATTTTGTATGGTATTTATTTAAACTATTTATATGCATCGGCGGTCAAAATTATTTTAAATTATCTTAGTTACGAAAAAATAAAAATATTAAGACTGCAGAGGGTTCAGCTGGTTTTATTAAATTTGCAAGGAAGTCTGTTATCAAACATTTCTTGAGGTTGAATACTTTATCTCCTTAAATGGCTATTTTTAAATTCGTAAATATGATATGAAGTTAACTTGCCCGCCACCTCAGATAAATTGTTCAGAAGTTTTTATAAAACACTACTCTCTGCCGGTTAACGCGAGTGAAGCTTTATACAGGGTTCGTAAAGTCCTTAGAAAATTTAAAAAGTGGGGCTAATAATCTAATGAAGAATTTATAATTTTTTTTTCGTTAGATTTTACTTTAAAATTAAAAATTCTATTAATTTGATTTCGAGATTACATACATTTATTTTTATAGTTAAAACAAAACGGAGAGTACAAACTTATTAAGATTCATTTCAGATTCTTAATTTTGATACGACATTTCAAATTTTCTAAGGATTGTACGAACCCTGCTTTTAAAGTCTTTGAACTATTTGCGCTAATAGGACATCATATAAAATCATCATTTAGAAAGTTAAAATCTAAATATGTAATTAATTTATATTTATTTCTTAATGTTTAGTGACCATATTAATTTATTATTGTTATTACATATAATATATATATATATATATATATATATAAACGTTCTGACTCCAA